TTATTGACAATGAACGCTCTTATTTAATTTCACCTTTTAATTTAGTCTATTGTACTGCGTCACATTGTTGATCTTTTAATTTCACCACTCTCCTTTACACAATCAGCTGCAGCCACGTTTCGCTACCACAGTCTGAAAATCACATCATTTGTGGATACATATTCCCATTTTCTCTTACACAAGCTGCTCCTGCTGAATTCTCAACAATGTCTTCTTCTATACCATCCAAAATGAAGGCCTGGGTTTACAACGAGTACGGCGGCGTTGAGGTGTTGAAATTTGAGGCCGATTATGCAGTGCCGGAAGTGAAGGATGATCAGGTCTTGATCAAGGTGGTGGCGGCGGCTCTTAATCCCGTTGATTACAAGATAAGGATGGGGAAATTTAAGGCCATTGATTCGAAGCCTCCTGTAAGTTTCTTTTACTCCTTTTCTCTCTTTAGGCCTGTTTGATTCACCCAAATTTTCTATGGAAAATGAAAAATAAATTCCAACTTTCACTTTTTCCTTTACACTATACTTTCCTGGCAATTGATTTTCTTAGTTTTGTCTCTCATGTGTGCTTTTCCTTGGTTTTGGATTTCCAGGTTATTTTTTAATTTTTCACTTTTTGAACAGAACATATATATTTGTCTTCAATTTAGCCCACTTGTTAGTTTGAAAACATGGTATAATTTTATCATTATCGATTTCGCTTAATAGATCATTCTTAATATCCAATTTGATGGTGTAGGTAGACGAAACTTGACAAGATCCTTGAGAAGTCTTTCTCACTTTCTTTCTTTCTTCTGTTTGTTATTTTTTGTCGCTCCTATTAAATAAACTTGTGTTATTGACATAACCAACTGGAGATGAAGTTTCTATATGCAAGCTAAGCTAAGAATCAGATGTTCACAAAGTCGCACAATAACCGTATTATCCGCCGCATCCTATGGTTAATAGATAATTTTCAGCATCTAACGAATGTAAATACCAATTTATTGGTTTTCATTTCTTTTTTTTTTTTCAACAGACTGTTCCAGGCTACGATGTTGCTGGTGTGGTAGTTAAAGTTGGTAGTGAAGTAAAAGGACTAAAAGAAGGGGATGAAGTATATGGCGACATAAATGAGAGCACAACAGAACCTAAACGATATGGCTCCTTAGCCGAGTACACATCTGTGGAGGAAAAATTACTGGCTCTTAAGCCCAAGAATCTTGATTTTGCACAGGCTGCTAGTCTTCCTCTGGCAATTGAAACCGCCTACGAAGGTCTTGAAAGGGCTGGATTTTCTGCTGGAAAATCCAT